TCACCTTGGCCCTTTCTTCTTCGGGAATGGCAGCAACAACCTTTTTGCTATTGCTAACCCATTTTGTCAGCCTGAAACCTCCTAATGCACAAAGAGATACCAGATCTTTGTAGAGAGAGATGGCATTTTTAGTTGTTTCTACAGACCTGAGGCAATCATCCACATAGAAGTTGTTGTACACTGTGTTGATGACCTCTTCTTGGTATTTGTCCTTGTTCTCCTTAGCAGTCAGCTTGAGAGCGAAGCTGGCACAACTGGGGGATGACGTCGCCCCAAACAGATGGACGGTCATCCGATATTCCACCATAGCATTGTTGATGTCTCCATCCAGCCACCAGAAAAAGCGAAGAAAGTCTCGGTCGTTACTTGGCACCCTCACCTGGTGAAACATGCTCTCGATGTCAGCCATTATTGCGACCTGGCTTTGTCTGAACCTCAGCAATACTCCCAGGAGGCTGCTATTCAGATCTGGGCCTTGAAGGAGCTTGCTGTTGAGAGAGGTTCCTTGAAAAGATGAGGCACAATCAAAGACGACTCTGAGGGTTCGCTTTTTGGGATGGTAAACGCCGTGATGCGGTATATACCAAACTCGACCGTCATCACGATCCAACAAGTCGGGTGGCACTGTTTCTGCATATCCCTTTCTGATGAGGTCACTCATGAATGTTGTGTATTCTTCAGAATATTCTGGGTTCCTCTGGAGCCTTTTTGCGAGTTGCTGCGCTCTCTGCTTCACCATATGCCGGTTATTCGGCATGATAATTTGTGGATTCTTGAATGGCAGACCTAGGTAGTAGTGTTGCTCTTTCAGCGTAGCTGAGCTTTCCATAATTTCAAGGAATTGTCGGTCCTCCGCAGACATTTCGTCCTTGTCCATACTCCGCTCACTGAAGTCTTGGTTATACTGATTTATCAGCATCTCCTCCAGACTGGCAACCGATATCCTATTAACATACAGTGCTGGTTGACTTCTCTTAGCGTCAGCGCTTACACTGAGTGGGCCATTCACCACCCATCCAAGAGCTGTTTTAACAGCATAAGGCCCATTACCAATGCTGTTAACAACTTTCCAAGGTTCTAGCGCCTTCGGAACGTTGACTCCAATTAGAAGACCGACGTCTGTGTCAACATGACTCAGTTTGACTTCTTCCAAATATGGCCACTGCTGAAGGTCCTTTTGTGTAAGGATGTTGTCGCTTGCTATTGGGATGGATTTCTGGCTGTACACATCAGGAAGCTTAAGGAATGTGTCATTACCCAATCCCGCCACTTCAATCCCAGATATCCTGAAACTGCTCATTGCAACTTCCAGTCCCATTGTTTTCAACATGATCATTTCCTTTTTTCCTCCAGCATTCAGCTCCTTCATCAGCACCTCCGTGCAAAAAGTGGCTGAGCTACCCGTGTCCAAGAAAGCGTTTGTTATAATTACTCTGTTGCTGTTACACAGTCTCACTTGGACAGGCACTACAGCGAGTGCACATTCACCAGCCCCAGTAGCCTTGGTAGGGCCTAGTAGGGCCACCACGTTGCTGCTAATAGAGGCTTCTTTGGTGATTCCTGGAGCCAGCCTTTCTGTCTTAGCTTTGCGATCGATATGCAGAATGGTGGGATGATTGAGTTTGAATGTCTGGCATATCATGCGCTTTGTGCATTTGCTACTCATGTGCCCTCTTTTGAGGCAGCCAAAACAGAGTCCTTTTGCTTTAATGATCATCACGTTGCACTCGGCTAGCTTGTGCGCCTCTTTACAAAACATGCAGGGGACTTTAAAGGGGCTCTGTGCAACTTCGCTCTCCCTTTGTGTTTTCTTTGGAGTCACTGTGTCTGCATTATCCGTCACTGATGAGGTTACCGTAGTAACAAAGCTGCTACCTCTGGTTTGTGGCTTACCAGGTGGCTTTATACCTGTGGACTTCTGGGTTCTGAGACTGGCTTTAACAGCATGGTCTTGGATGTCTCCAAACACGGGGTCCAGAGCTATTTGAGCTTGCTTTTCCACAAACTGTACCAGTTGGATGAACGTGACTCTCCGTTTGGTCTTCTCTTGGATGTCGCAGACCTTAGCCCTCCATCTGTCACAAAGCCTAAAAGGGAGTTTGCAAACAACGGTCTTCATGTATGATGGTGTGTCCAGTTCCACTAAAAAGCTGATTGCGTTCATGGTGTTGTAACAACCTCTTAAGAACAGAGCATAGGCGTGTAAGGCCTTTCCGTCTTCTGCTTTAATGGGTACCCAATTGCTGGCTTTCTCTATGTTGGATATCTTAATTTCATCTCCGAAATTTTCCTGTAGTACCCTCTTTGCTTCTTTATAACCACTTTTGGGGTCCATGTGTGCACAGCTCCGCACCAGCTCCCTGGGCTGACCTGCTGTGTATTGCTCCAGAAAGTGGAGACGATCATGGCTGCTATCAGTTTTTGTTTCAATTGAATGTTCAAAAGCCCTTAGAAATGATTTGTACTGAAGAGGATCACCATGAAATATGGGTATGTCTCTGGAGGGTAACAGTGACAGCTGTTGGTGCTTGAGTAGATGTTCAGATATTTCATTTTGTTTATACAGGACACTTTGAAGGGTTAATGGCCTGTGGTTTTGTGGGACTACTGCCCCTTGACCCATGTGCCTGGGTTGTTGTTGTCTGGAGTGTGATGTGCTGCTACGCCGTTTTGGCTGATTTGCATTTGTTGACTCCTCCTCATCATCATCATCATCCTCATTATAATACTCATTTTCCTCTTCAACATCATCATCATCATCATCATCATCATCATCATCATCATCATTCTGAGAGAGCTCCCCAGCAATTGGGTACCCCCCCCCCATTTTTTATCCATTACTGCTCACGGGGTTGTAGTTCAGCCCGTTCTCATCCCAACTCGTAATATACTGACGATTTGTCTGACTGGCGCAAAAGGTCCCCTCCCGACCCGGTCACGGTGATAGATTACGCTAACCCTAACCATAACCATAACCCTAACCCTTTTTGGAGTGAATTGTTTCACAGTAGACTGCGGACGCTGTAGACTCTGCTCTGCGAGCGGACGCTGTAGACTCTGCTCGTCTCTGCTCGTCTCTTACCACCGCGAACGGGTTTATGAGAACCCCCAGATCGTTTCACACAGATGCGGGAGGGTACCTTTTGCGTCAATGTCAGACGTCTAGGGGCGTGACAAATCGTCGGTGTATTACGAGTTGGGATGAGAACGTGTTGTGTAGTTTCTTTGCGGCATCGACCTCGTGTGCATTGCTTCCTGATTTCCCGAGCTACGGAGTGGCCCGAGGTTCAAATGTCACAGCGTTAATCGCGCGTTAAAAAAATGAGTGCCGTTAAAACCATGTTGCGTTAACTCGTTAATAACGCGTTAACTTTGACAGCCTTAATATATATATATCAGAGGTTGCGCTAGACTTTTTAGTTGTCCGTCATTTTGACTGACAGGGTCATAAAAATCCCGTCATAATCTATTTTTACCGGTCACTTTAATTTTTTAAATGATAATAATGACATGTTCAATAGCGTTTAATTTTAATTCATTTTTAATTAATATTCAGTCCAAACAAATAAATAATCCACACCGTGGATACACACATCAAGCAGAAGAATATGTAAGAATATCGGCCGCCAGGCGATTCGCGTATAGTGGGGCTTGACTGTCATCACGCGGATATTTCACGTATAGTGGGGCTTGACGGTGATTCATCACCACAATGCGGGCAGGAGCTAGTTGATCCACTAGTCACCACGCGGGAGCTAGTTGATCCACTAGTCAACACACCCCCAAGCGAACGAGTTTTCAAGGTGGCGCGATGTCGCGGATAATTCGTGTATAGTGGGGCTTCTAGTAGGGTTGTGCCGACGTGATGGCTGACTGACATCACAATGGAGAGCCACCATCGTGATGCCACGCCCCCCTCGTCCGACACACACTAATCCTATAGTCTCTTCTATAGTTATTACCTAAAAACTTTGCAGGGATTGCTCTGTAAATAAATTGAAAATATAACTAATGGTCCATATAAAGTGCTGTAAGTTAACTAGGGCTGCCCCCTAATAGTCGGCTTAGTCGATCGACGGAGGCTTTTGTCGAATACGTTTTCATTAGTCGAGCAAAAAGTAAAACATCAAAATAAGAAGGCATGAGCATCGCAAACCGAATACATCCGTGGTTGCAACAAGCCCTGATTTAACTCATCGCTGCAGAAATACTGACCAATACACCTGGGCAGGTAAACACCTAGGCAGGTAGACTCCGCTAGACACATGGGACTCATACCGGTGATCGCGGCTTTAGTTCCCCGTGTCTGATCGCTGTAATTCAGAGCGTGAATATCGGTTGAATATCTAATATCTTTCTAACTTTAAAAAACACTTTAGTTTTTTTTAAAAACGATAGTCGCACATCCCTCGTAACTACGCCGTGAAGGTGAACCCTCCCGGACTCCGCTATTAACATGAACCGCTCCGCCGAAGGAGCCGCACATCCACACGCACCGGACACCAAAATACAAACAAACATGTGTTCCATTTGATTGCTTTTAAATAAAGTTGTGTGCAGTTATAAGGTAAATACGATTATTAAAAGTGTTGGTCCATGCGCCTATTAACGGCCCCGCCCCCCCGACGACGATATCATCGTCCATCACAATGTTTTACTGTAAACATCGTAAACTGCCAATTTAAGGGCCATCGCCCAACCCTAGCTTCTAGGTTCCTCGCGTGCCCGCTTGCGTGTAATCAAATGTTTCAAGTGGGTTTGTTGTTTCTTTCTTCTTTTCTACTTTTCTTCTTCTACAGGAGCCAATTAATATGCTCATCGCCACCAAGTGGTCAGGGTGTGAAATGCAATCTGTCAAAATGACGGACGGCCCTCAGATTTTTCCGTCACCGTTTTAAAAAAACGGTCAATGACGGAAAATATTCGGTTAACGCGACCCCTGATATATATATATATATATATATAATGGTGAACTATTATTGATAGACCAATAACTGTTCTATCTCAAATGAGAGCATGGCATTAACACTGCCAGGGTTCGGGTTTCAATTCCCGAAGGGGCCATCCAGTGTCCATTCACGGTATGCACTCACGGTATTGGTATGGTAAGACGCCTTAGATAAAAATGTACCACTGTTGTATTTGCTAAAGAATAGTTTGTTATTCTTTATAACAAATGTGTTATGTCATAAACATTCTTCATGCCATTGTTCCATTATTGTGATGATATGCATGTTATGCAAGTTAGTCTCAGCTGCAAATAAAGGCGATTCAGAACACTGCGGCCATATTCTCAATTGTGTCCAAATTGTTGTGCATACTGCATAAATAATATATATATTTTGATAGGACATGTATTCAATATGTGTGTGTGTGTGTGTGTGTGTGTGTGTGTGTGTGTGTGTGTAGTATGTCTCACGTAGATCATCCATGCTGCTTAGCGCTCTTTGAGGTTGTACAGCACGGACGCTTCATTGAGGTAGGTCATCATGGCCATGTCCTCAATCTTATCAAACTTGGGAGGATTCATGCTTGACACGTCGTCGTCCTTCAAAGTTCTGGTCTGGAACACACAGGACAATGTTAAATGTGAGTATATACATATATATCAATGCTAATTAGCCTACTATTTGACTAGACAAGAGGTCCTCAAACTGTATGTCGCGAAACATAGGGCGCCAACAGGGGACCATATATGCTATATGTCTTTTTCTTGTCTGTTTCATATGTTTAAAGACTGAAAAGGGGAATACTGTATGAATGAACAATATACAAATTAACTCACTTCTTTGACATGGTAATGAAAATGCATTGCTGATTTTACTGCATCTGGTGGGTTCTGGGCCAAAAGTACCTTCACTGGTGAGTCAAGGTGTGACAACATTTGGGAACTACTGAACTAAAATATCCTGCCAACAGTAATTTGATATGACATCTATCCATCTAGCTTTCAGTTACCAACACACAAGTATAATAAGGAATAATACCAAGTTCATATTGATATACCAGACACAACTCCCAATAATAACTATACTACTAACACTACTATTATTACTTTGATATGACTATCTAACCTACCTCTTCACTGTTGAGTAGCTTAATAAAATAATTACTACTATACTTTTTACTACTATACTTCCAATTACACTATACTACTAACCCTTCTATGGGCGGCAGTGGCTCAGGTGGTAAAACCTAGAAAGGTTGCTAATTCAATCCCCGGCTTCTTCTAGCTAAGTGTCGAGGTTTCCTCTGAGCAAGACACCTAACCTTAACTGCTCCCGACAACCTGGCTGTCACCTTGCATGGCTGACACCGCTGTTGGTGTATGAATGTGTGTATGAATGGGTGAATGTGAAGCAAATATTGTAAAGTGCTTCTGAAAAGCGCTTTATAAATGCAGTCCATTTACCATTTGCTATTAAAGGTATGGTTATATTTTATATCTACCATATGACCAATAATTAGGGTCACACTAACCTCGGTGCCTTTCTGCTGAAGACAGAATCATGAGATATAAGCAGAGGCATATAATTATAAAAGCAACTCCTCATGATCAGAATGAGTACGTTGTTGGTGACATGTGCAGAGTACATAGTGTGAGATCAGTTTGTTGTAAAGAGCAGGAAGTGTTAATCATATGATAGCAAAGAACAGGCAGGCTTGTCTCTGTACATGTAAAGAACGCTGGAGTCAGATAACACGAGGACGAGGTGGGAAGACGTCAACAGCCAGCCCTTGTTATGACGTTTTCACTGTTTGTGTATATAACTTCCTGGGTCAGGGATAGTTGGTGCTCAGACTTCGTGAACTGACACACACTTTGTTGTTCTGTCAGGGAAACGTAGTTGGACCCAGATATCTGTAAAACTCTGCACATTATACTGGTGTTAACAATAAAACTGATTATTCCTTAAAGCTAAACAACTTCTTCTATCGCTTCATTAAAGAACACGCGTGAGTAAGAGTTTCAAGAGAAACTGCTTTTCACAACAATTGGTGACACCCCGAACGTGATGAAGACGAAGAAGTGACACAACGGACGAGAGGACTGAGTGACAGCGAAACGTGGCCACATGAAAAAGGTAAGCAGAAGCCTGTTATAACAAAATTCTGCAATTGGGCATTGTCAAAACTGTTTTGAAGTCACTTGGGATACTCGTCCTAGACATAGTTTAAACCAGTATAGTGTGCAACATAGGGGACGCTCCCTTGAGGAGGTCGCCAAAAGGGGACCTGCCGTGTAAGCGCACGAGCAGGAACGCCCGAGGGTTGGAAGCCTGTTGGGGAGGAAGAGCCCCACAAAGCACCAGCGGTTTAAATTCCGCCCCGTCCTCGCCATAGTATATAAGTTGGCAGAGGAAAAGAGGGTCCATACGACCCCAAGGTAGCTGGTTCCTTTCAAGACCAGAAGAGGGCACTCTGAGAGGGAGGAATAAATAAAATAAATCCAGAGTAACCCAAGGGGAGCCTTTCCCGTGACCGTTAGAGTCGGCACTAAAATCGTTTGTACTAGCGAAAAGGTAGCGCCAGGGGTACAAATAGCCTGAGTTCATATGATATTGCGATGCAAACATTTGAACATAATAGTCGAACGTGTTGAATGTGAAACTGTTAAAAAGGATGGTTATGTAAATATTGTATATTGTGTGGGTGGTTCCAGGGGTTAGACTTTTCGTGAGATTCTCATAAGTCTCGTCTAACGCCTAATGTGGGGTATTAAAACAATAAAAATTGAAAATATTTTCTGTGGGGAAAACGGGTGGTTGGATACGGGGAAAGTGTGTCTAAAAGTTTCTGCACGGAGTCTGAGTGAGACCGGACTTAAAGATTTCAGCCTAGAAGGTTGTCTCACAAATATTGCCATATTTCGTGCAGAGAGCAGACCGTGAGTCATTCACACCGACCCTGTATGTGTATAATAATTGTTGTTGTTAAGGTGTCCTACTGGTTAAGATAGTGTGTGAAAATGGACGGGGGACTAAACAGAGAGTGTGAAGAATATGGGGGGTGTCCTGAAGACACCGTAGGAGAGCAGTGGAGAGAGTAGAAAGGCAATAAGGCAGAAGAGGGAAAGCAAAGTTGGAGGACAAAGAGGAGAGGAGAGCGTCAGTGCATACAGTAGCATTAGCATGTGTAGCATTAGAAGCTCAAAAAAGACAAAAACTTGCCCAGGACTGTGACTAAGACTGTGACTGTGACTACTTCACCGGCGGGGCCAACAGCCCCCACCTATACCCAGACCTGAAATCACTATGTGCACACACAGCCTCTGACAAACACAGCCGACATGAGTTAGACCTTGAGACAGATTTACTAGAGACTACTACTACTACTACAGGACACAAAGCGAGAATTAGCAGCAAGACACACCGGTCAGGCTAAGGGTTACGAATCAGGACAAGACACAGAGGGACACAAAGCCAAATGGGGAGGGACGGCACCAAACGCAAGGGGACGTCGTGGCGGCCGGTGGCAATAAGGGCTTTCAGCCGCTCTGCTCCCCGGCTCTGGAACTCACTTCCACCCCAGCTCAGAAACATGGACTCACTTCACCTTTTCAAATCCACCCTCAAAACCCATCCGTTCAGAACTGCTTTCTCCCTGTGACCCCATCTGCTCTGCCTTAAATTTTAACTTATTTTTACTGTTTGTATTTTAACTTGTCTTATAGCTTGTTTATTTCTTGTGTTTTACTATGTTTCTGTACGGTGTCCTTGAGTGCCAGAAAGGCGCCTTGAAATAAAATGCATTATTATTATTATTATTATTATTATTATTATTATTATTATTATTAACAACAACGCAGGCAGGCGCCGGCGCTCCCGTAGCCATAACAACCCGCGAGAGCGACGGTACTAGAGAGCCAGCTGTCTGACCCTGACCGAGCAGGGAGCAGGGAGAGGGCTGATATGTCACCATTTAAAGTAAAGAATAAAGTTAATAAAAAATAATAAACATCGTTTAATAAAGTAAGAGTAAAAGTAATCAGAAATACATATTGCTTAAAAATAGAGTGTTAGTACACTAGTACAGGAAATAAATATGTCGTTAACAGCAGTGGACATTTTGGGTAGGGTTTGTTATCTACGTAAAGATGACTGATGAATAAGATCTCTGAAAAATGTAAGAAAAGAATATCTAAACAGGCATTCAAATTAGTATTAGTCATGTATCACAGAGAGAGAGGGACAGAGAGCAGAGAGAAAAGGAGGGGGCCTGGCCCTGAGAAGAGGACAATAAAGCAGGGCAGCACTAGAGCTGCAAGAAGTACTTAGATAAGGAGATCTAAAAAAGAGAGGGGCAATAAAGAGTTATGCAGTAGTTTACCCTATAATACTACTACTACGACGACGACTACTATTAATGATAATGAAAATAATAATAGGGGTAATAAAAATAGTAATGATAATACATTTTATTTAAGGTGCCTTTCCAAAAACACAAGGTTGCCTTACAAAACAAAGTGGTAAAGGGACAACCAGCTCAGTATGTCCAGGGGGATAACAGACTTAGAGGGGTTAGAATAAAAGCATAATAAAGAAAGCGCTGTGATCATTAGAATATTTAAGGATATGTTGGGACATAGAAAGTGCACATGTAGTGATCAATTATGTATTAGTGTCTGTGATTTGTTTCTGTATTTTCGGTTGATTTGTTTTTTTCTGTGTATTTGTTTTATAAATGTGTATAAAAGGGTTGTAGTGTTTTGTGGGACAATTAGCAGACCAACAGCTCAGTTAAGGGGGTTACTATTCATTTAAATCAGAAGTTATCTCCTCTACCGCTCGTCCACAGAAGTCCAGGGGTCAACCAGCGCTGGGGACTCGGTCAAGAGTTCAGGGAAATTCCCCCCTCACCAAATGAAGTAGAGGGACCCGCCCTAAAAGGACTCTGCAGGAGTGCGGTAGTTATTACAATATAAAAAAAACTGATACGCAATGTTGCGTATGTAGCAATAAAATAAGTCCATCATTAGGTTGCTTAGAATACCTCCATAGTGTGGTGTTGAAATAATTAAAAGAAAGTTTGTTCTGGGTTGCCAGAGTCTACCAGGAGGTGTG